TTTAACTTTGGGGCTAAATCATCCATGAGATAGCTTATAATTCCAGGAAATTACAATGGTCATGATAAGATGGGTAAAGATACTTCTGCAGTGATTCTTAAAAATCTTGTTAATATTAATTTTATGGCTATCGGAATCATACAACAACTTTCCCTATCAAGCCCTCAAGCCCTCAAATCTTAATTGAATATCTTAATTTTATAATTAATGAAATGCTCTTTGTAACCATAGATTATTTACTGGTTCATATTGAAAATATAAAGAATTCTGAAAAGAAAAAAGTCCTTAAGGTCATCATCCAAACAGAGTAATTAATACTTTGTATTATTTTAATGTGTGTACTGTTTCTAGAAAATTTATTGACATCAGCATAAAATGTGCTTAATATATTAATATATGGATAGGTCATAATTTACTTAAATACTTGTATATAGTGACTTTCTTTGTAAGTGACGTAAAATGAGGATGAGGTTGAAAGTGAAACATATAGTCACAGAACACATGCCTGGAACTGAGGTTTCCTTATTTCAATAATTTCGAAAGAAGCACAATAGTCTCATCAGCTTCCCATGACAGACTACAATTAAATTTGACCTTATTTTGCCAAGCAAGTAATAATTTAGGCCTGTTTTAGTTCAGTAAGTCCATAAAAATATAGAAAATGCTTAGCTATATCCACACTGATGGACCCGAGTGGTGCTATCAGTGAAATTATTGCATAAGCCAAATACCCATTTGCTAATATTAAAAGAACACACTAGCTCATCAAAATTTGCCAACCATTTAATCAAGTTATAAAAGTACAAATATTAATATGGAATATAATCAACAAATATTCTGCTACCTTTTCAGCTATACATGGAAGGTACTTTTGGATAATTGGTGTGTCTGAATATTTTATATGTTCACCCAATGGTAGCACTAGATTTTTGATATTGAAGCACTATTATTGAATCATTGGATAGACATTTCCAAGCATTTTTTTTTTCATTAAAGAGAAAAATGCAGCATAGTCTTTGCCTCTTCCCCCAAAGATGTAGCAAAACATTTCCTGACTTGTTCCTTCAAGGTCTCCTGTCATCTCAGACTAAACTTTGGAAGGCACCAGAAGAACTCGATTGATGGTTTTTGTTTCCTTCCTAATACTTTCCATATCCTTAGAATCCTAAGTCCTTTTTTATTTTTTTGGACCAATTATGAGAAAGATGCATTCATAGTTTTATCCTAGAGAGAAATATTGAATCCTTATTTTCAGAGCTTGGCAACTTAGAATCCTTCTAGAGTTCTAGACATTAAATCTCACTATAGTTCTGACATATTGTCATGCTAAAAATCACAGCAAGGTTTCCTTTCAAGGATTCACTTACGTTTAAAAAAAATGGACAAAATAATTTATGAGAAAATTGAAGGCCCATGAACACAGGGGGAAAAAAAAGGTAAGCTTTTCTTTTATCAAAAGTTAGCCTGATCTGAATTTGGCACAACATTCATTTTACTGAATTTGTTGGTACCATTCAAGTGCACAGACAAGCTGTTATTTGGCCAAGTCCTTTTTTCCTTATAGGTTTACACTTAATATTCTTTTTATCGCCAAACCTACTAAGTACCACTTTAACACATATTTTGCGGCTAGCTGCGCGTTGGTTGCTCTGGCATGTGTCCTGAACAAACTTTTGATGACACAGTTCCAGCCAAGTGGCATTTGTAGTGGGTATGGGGAGAAAGAGAAGCAGGGAATTACACTACAGAGAAATAAATGCTATAAATGTGAGTCAGTGAAGACTGGGCAGGAGCATCGAGGATGGCCTGGATCTCTCACACATTGACTCAGGGAAGACCCTCAGGGACACTCATGTAAGTCAGGCACTGAATGAAAAAGGCTTGAATCCCAGTGAGTGAACCGTGAGCAGTTAGGACCCTGAGACAAAAGAAGTAACATGGGCCTCTGTGGTGGCACAGGTGGTCGAGCGCCATGCTGTGTTGCTGTCTGCAGCCTCTGCAACGCAGGTTCGATCCCCGCAGGCCTCAGAGCAACCCACAGGGCGAGCAGACCTCTCCTGTCTCGCCCGCTACTCCCCTCAGCAGTGTATTTCATCAGTCTGCCTGTTCTGTTCCCCGCTCTGTCTCTGGTGAATCCTCTCACCTTCCCGCGCATCTGGCCTGTACCCAGGCTCATGTATAAATAAAAATAAATCTTAAAAAAAAAAAAAAGTAGTAACAAATGTACAGACTAGAGCAAAGATACTTGGGGCAGATGCAAATGCGTTCAATAATATGGTATCAGAGAATTTGAGAGAAAAAAAGTGTTGAACAGAAAGGCAGAGAGGCAGAACAAAATCAGGTCTGAGAAGAAATTTTTGACCTTGTAAGTCCTAGAGACACCTTTCTCTGGTCAGTGCTACCCAGTGTGAAAGAGTGACAAAACAGATCTTTATGAGAAGTATGAGTTGTACCAAATTTACCACCCTGAATAGGAAAAGAATAGAGAAAGATGAATTTTAAGAAGACTGATCTTAATGTCAGTGACATTCCAGTGAAAATGCCAATGAATTAAGCAAAGAGCACAGGGCTAGGAAGGAAGTAGGGAGATTTAAAAAAAAAAATGAGGAAGGCAATAGGATCCCCAGAATTCCGGCCTGATGATATGTCGTCTGTTACCTATGTTGAGTTTGACACTCAACGGTCTTGAGTGAAATAGTTTGGCTAAGACTAAGCTCACTGACTAGTGGGTATTCAACCACAGGTGTAGATTCGGTGATGTGTCAAAATGGCTGGGTTGTAACAGCTGGTTGGTTACAGTGTGTGATCTAAAATTGGGCTTAATCTGCTGGTACCTGAAGAGAGCGCAAAGGTGTAGGAGCGAGTCCCTATCTCAAGCCTTGATAATGTTTCAAAATGTGTTTCAGGCCCACAGATGAACAGAGATTGTTAGAAAATGCATAATGCATTTGAGTGAGGAATAATTTGGCTTGATCACCTTGAATGATCTATTTTTACAGCTATCAAAGCATTATATCAGAGGCCAACAAAGCACAGTATATAATGATCAAGTAAATCAGAAACGCACACTCACAGAGTCGGTTTCGGTTCTGATGTCTGCTGTATACTACTGGATAGCAGGTGTTCAATCAAAATTGTTAATGTACTTTCAGTGGGTCTCATATCCTTTAAAAGCAGGTAATTAGAATTATTCACAGATACTTTGAATCCATGAATAATTCATTCCCTTCACATCAATAAAATAATTATTGAATATTTTTGTTCTTTGCTTTCTATTTCAATAAAATCGCTCATGTTGTGGCACTGTCACAGGAGTACACTTTCTAAATATGTCAAATTGAAATGATCCCTAGAGAGGATGGAAACGTTCAGCAGACAGAACTTTCCAGAAGCTTCATTTGTTTTTTTTTTTTTTTCTAAAAGTATTTCAGGGTTAAGTGTTTTAAAAATATATCAATACATGTACCTAATGTAATGCATCGTTAGTTCTCCTTTATTAAATCTGAAAGAGAATATACGTATGTATCAATACATTTATATTTTAAAATATGTGCAGATACTAAAGATGCTATGAAAGATTTGGGGTATTTGAAAAAAACTGAGATGTAGTATCATGTAATAGGTTAAAACGTAAAACATACTAGATGGCTGATGGATAAATTTTCAAATCTCAGGGTTTATATGAAAATCAACTTAAATATTAAAAAATATAACTAAAAGTTGACATCTGTCATGTATCTATGAAAATGTCATCCTTAGAAGCCATTTAATATTTTTATTAAAAGAGCTTCTTTATTCTCATAAGGCAGTAAAGAATATATTCTGGGAATACAAATGTCTTATTTGTTGGCAATATAGATGTTGATGGGATGAATGATTTATGTGAAATGTAAAGCAAAACTTCAAAAACATTCCTTTTTTCTAAACCAGGTTCTCAGATGCGTGAACACAGATAGGTGTGTGCACTATTTTTTTAATCTACACTCACACTTGCATAGAGCGTGTGTATGTGTGTGTTCATAAATACCCAAATCACTGATACACACCTGTTTTTGGAAAACCAATTCCGAAATGCCTAAACATACAGTCGTACAGCTTAACACCTGATTCCTTTGTGAAGAATTGCAAAGGACACTTAGAAAAATTCAGAATAAATATGTTTGAAAGCAGCAGCAGTACAGTGGTCACAGGCAAAGAAGGGACGTTAAGAAGGGCGGTCTTTAATATACAAAGTAAGCATCTCTGCTCCTGCCAGCTGGATGCATGTGTGTTACAGTCAAGCGGTGCACAGGGTCAACATCTGGGAATTCTTAAAAGCAAAAGTAACTTTACGAGAAATATTAATATTGAACGTCACTGCTGAAGTATCCGATTTTTCATGTCTTCTGTTTCCTTAGAGAGCAAAGAAACCAGTATTTTGTGAGCCAAGAGGAATAGCCACATAGCTAGAGAGTTTCCATTTAAAATGCACATTTTTTGGGCCTCCCCTGGTGGCGCAGGGGTTGAGCGCTGGGCTGCGAGGCTGCCCGCAGCCTCTGCAGCGCCGGTTCGATCCCTGGCCGCTGGCGAGGGTCCCCCAAAAAATAAATAAAACGCACATTTTTTTTTTTTTACGGTTTGTATTTCTATAGGTAATTCTCTAACCATATACAATGCGTCCCAGTTGTGTCGTATCTGGTAGAGGTTTGGAGCAATCAGTGATCTGCATTCTTCCCCCTTGCTGGCCTTCATGCTCCACCCTGGATCGTCTGCGATCACGGGGTCGCCCCGATGTCATGTCCCGCCACTGTTGATACCTAGAGGCAAGACTGGCTCCTTCCTGCCAAGAAGCTGATGTGCCCACGGGGGGCAGCTCTGGGTGCAGGTCAGCGAAGGGCTCTGTGTTAGCCCCGGAGAGGACTGCGCTGCTCTGGGCAGAGATCTGGTGACATGTTCTCCGCCGTTAGTTCATCGTCCGGCTCCCCACGTGCGCGCTCCGGAGCAGCCCTGCTCAGGCCTCTCTTCTGTCTCGCTCTGTCCGCAGGCGGCGTCTCGGGGCTGCAGAGACACGGAGCCATCGGGGGCTGCGGACTTGGAGGAGCCTCCTGCGTCCAGTGGAGCAAAGGCAGCCCCCCCAGCGGGCAGCGGACCCCACTCTCCAACAGGTAAGGACGGGACTCTGGGCAAGAGTCTCCCCCTCCTGGCTGCCACCTGCCCTCCTCCCCCCTGCTTGCCCTCCTCACCTTCTCCCACATCCCTCGGCTCCCCCCCTCTCACTTTGCTTCTCAGGCCCACCCTCTCTTCCCTCCACTCTCCCCAGCTCTCTCAGCTCCTCCAGGCTCTACTCACCGCCCCCCTCCCAGGCCCATGCCCCTCCCTGCAGTCCTGCCCTCTCCCCCATCTTCCTCATCCTACCTGCCCTGCCAGCGCCTTCCTGTCCCTCCCAGTCCTCCCCCTTCACACCCCCACCCTCCACTGCCTCCTCTCCCTCCTCCCATCTTCTCCTGCTACCCTTGTCCTACCCTCCTCTGCTCTCCCTCGCCTGCCAGCTTCTCTTCCCCCCACCCTTCCCCCTCCTCACTCCCTCCTCCTGCTCCACCTCCCTTCTCCACCCTCCCTGCCCCTCCTCTGTTACCTTCTCTCCCTCCTCCCATCTTTCCTCCATGCTCCCCAACTCCCCCATCATAGCCCCTCCCGTCCCTACTCTCCCTCCATGCCTGCCCTACCTCCCATCTTGCCTCCACCTGCCCTTCCCTGTCCCCCACCCCTCCCTGCCCATCTTTCTCCTCACACCTTCCCTGCTTTCTCCCACCTGCCCTTTCAGCTCCTTCCTGTCCCTCCCGTCCCTGCCCCCTCCACACCTCACCCTCCACTGCCTAACTCTCCTCTCCCTTTCTCCCTCCTTCTGCCCCTTTCTCCCCTCCCTATTCTCCCCTCTGTCTGTCCTCCCTCTCCTGCCATCTTTGCCCTGCCCTACTCACCCCTGCCTCTCCCCATCACATCACCCCTTCCCTCTCAGCAAACCCTCTCCCTCTCCCCGCCTTTCCCCCAGTCTCCCTCCTATCCTTCACCCTCCCCTCCACCATGCTCTCCCACCTTCCCTTCCCTGTCCCGCAACCCGCTCCTACCCCTCCCTACTCTGTTCTCGCCTCCCTTCTCCCCTCATCTGTTCTCTCCCCCTCCCTCCTCGCCCATTCCGTCCTCCCTTTGCTCTCCTCCCTGTTCTCCCTTCCACTCTCCCCAGCCCCATCCTCCCTCCATTCTCCCCACCTCTCCCCATCTTCTTAGTCCCTCCAGTCTCTACTCTCCATCCTCCCTCTGCCCTCTCTTCCCTTCCCCTCCCATCTTCCCTTTTCTCCCTTCCTCCGGCCTCTCCTACCTCTCCTACCTCCTGCCCCTGCTCCACCTCTTCCCAGTCCCACCCTCTTCTCTCGCTCCCCCTCCTTCCCTGCTCCCCCTCCCCCCACCCTCTCCTCCCACCTTCCCTCCATCTTCCCTCCTTTTCCCCTACTTGCCCTCCGGTGCTCCCACATTCCTCTGCTCCTCCCCCCCCTCCATGTCCCATCTTCTTAGCCCCGCCAGTCCCTCATCCCCTCCCTGCTCTGTTCTCCCTCCACTCTCGCTCCACGCTCGCTCTCCATCCTCCTCCTCACACCTGCCCTGTGTCTCTATCTTTCCTTGGCCCCTTCACACCCCACCCTCTGTCTTCCTGCTCCCCCTCTCCTCCCCCCAACAGACCCTCCTCTGTTCTCTCTCCTCCCCTTCCCCATCATCCCTTCCCTCTCCCCGCCACTCTTGTGAGTCCATCTTCCCTCCTTCTCCTCACACATTCTCCCCTCCTCCCTCTACTCCCCTCCTCTGGTCTCTCCTCCTTGCTCCCATCTCCCCTCAACCCCCTTCCTCCTCTGTTCTCCCTCTCCTCCCATCTCCCCTACCCGCTCCTCCCTACTCACCCCTACCACTTCCATCCCCAGCACCCCTTCCCTCTAGGCCAACCCCACTTCCCTATCCTCCCATCATCCCTCTCCCTCCTCCTCCTCATACCCTTCCTGCCCCTCCTCCTCCACTCTCCTCACACCTTCCCTGCTTCCTCCCATCTTCCCTTTTCCTCTCCCCATTTTTTCCACACTCTTACCCCCCCCCCTTTGCCCTCACCTCCCTGTTTTCCTCATCTGTTCCCATTTGGCTCCCGTCTTCCCTCCCCTGCTGCCATCTCCTTCCTGCTCCCCGCCCCTCCCTCGCCTGTGGTCCTGCCCTCCCAGGTTCTCTTCCCCTTCCAGCTCCTTCTCCCTCTGCCTCCTCCTGCCCCTCACCACACCCTCCTCTGTCCCCCTCCTGTTCTCCCCCTCCTCTCACTTCTCCCACTTCTCCCTCCCACCCCGCTCATCCCCTCCAGGCTTCCCTCTGCTCTGCCGTCCTCCCATCTGACCTCCCAGCTCCTCCTCCCCTCCCACTCCTTCTCCCCCTCCCTCCCTCTGTATTCCTCTCCGCCATCTTCCTGCTTCCCCTCCCTGTCTTCTTCCTGCCCCCTCCCATCCCTGTTCTCCCTTCTCCCTCCCCCTCCTCTGTTCCCTCTCCTCACACCTTCCCTCCTTTCCCCTCCTCTCCTTCCCCGCCACTCTTCCCTCCACTGTCCCCCACCCTCCCGTTCCTAACTCTCCCTCCTCCCACCTTCCCCATTCTCCCTTTTGTCTGTCCTCCCTCTCCTGCCATCTTTGCCCTGCCCTACTCACCCCTGCCTCTCCCCATCACATCACCCCTACCCTCTCCATCTCCCCGCCTTTCCCCCAGTCTCCTTCCTATCCTTCACCCTCCCCTCCACCATGCTCTCCCACCTTCCCTTCCCTGTCCCGCAACCCGCTCCTGCCCCTCCCTACTCTGTTCTTGCCTCCCTTCTCCCCTCATCTGTTCTCTCCCCCCTCCCTCCTCGCCCATTCCGTCCTCCCTTTGCTCTCCTCCCTGTTCTCCCTTCCACTTTTCCCAGCCTCTCTCCTCACTCCTGCCCCTGCTCCACTTCTTCCCATTCCCACCCTCTTCTCTCACTCCGCATCCCTTCCTGCTCCCTCTCCTCCCTAGTCTCCCATCTTCACTCTCCCTCTCGCCCTCCTCCCCTCCCTCCCTTCTCCCACATTCCTCTGCTCCTCCCCACCCTCTCCCCTCCCTGCTCTGTTCTCCCTCCACTCTCCCCACCCTCCTCATCACACCTGCCCTGTGTCTCCATCTTTCCTTGGCCCCTTCACACCCCACCCTCCGACTTCCTGCTCCCCCTCTCCTCCCCCCTGTTCTCTCTCCTCCCCTCTTCTCTTCCCCTGCCCCCCCATCCTCCCATCCCTCTCCCTCCCCTTCTCTCCCCTCTCCATGCCACTCTTGTGTGTCCATCTTCCCTCCTTCTCACACATTCTCTCCTTCTCCCACCCAACCTTCTCTCCTCCTTGCTCCCATCTCCCCTACCCGCTCCTCCCTACTCACCCCTACCTCTCCCATCCCCAACACCCCTTCCCTATCCTCCCATCATCCCTTTCCCTCCTCATACCTTCCCTGTTCTGTCTTCCCTCCTCCCCTCCCACCCCATCTGTCTCCTCACACCTTCCCTTTTCCTCACTCTTACCCCCCACTTTTGCCCTCACCTCCCTGTTTTCCTCATCTGTTCTCACTTGGCTCCCATCTTTGTCTTCCCTCTCCTTTCTGCTCCCTGCCCCTCCCTCGCCTGTGGCCCTGCCCTCCCAGGTTCTCTTCCCCTTCTCCTCCTGCCCCTCACCACACCCTCCTCTGTCCTCCTCCCCTCCCCTCTCCCCACACCTCCTGCACTCCTCTCTTCTCCCTCCCCCCCCTCTCATCCCCCTCCAGGCTTCCCTTGGCTCTCCTGTCATCCTCCCCCTTCCCTCTCCTCACAACTTCCCTCCTTTCCCCTCCTCTCCAGCCACTGTCCCCCCACCCTCTTGTCCCTCCCTACTCCACTCCCTGCTTTCTCCCTCCTTCCCTTCCCTCCCAGCCCTGCCCCCTTCACACCCCCACCCTCCACTTCCTAACTCTCCCGCCAGCTGCTCTTTTCTCCTGCCCTCCCTCTCCCTGCTCCCATCTTCTCCCCTCCTGCAAGCTCCCCCTACTCACCACTACCTCTCCCACCCCCCCATCTCAGCCAGCCCTCTTCTCCCCACCAGTCCCTACCCTCCCTACCTCAACTCTCTACTCTCCCTCCCCTCTCTCTGTCCCCTTTTTCTTCCTTCCCCTCATCCACCTGTTCATCCTCCCATCACTCCCCATTCAGCCCCACCCTCCTGCCCCTTCCTCCCATCTTCCCTCCTTTCTCCTCTCCTCCCTACTCACCCCTGCCTCCCCCAGCATCCCTTCCCTCCTCTTCCCGCCTTTTCCCTACTCTCCGCCTTTCCCTCCCTTCCCCCACATCCCTCCTTTCTCCCCTCTTCACCTCCTCCTGCTCCCACCCTCACCTCCCCTTCCATCTTCCCCAGCCCTCTCCTCCCATCTTCTTTTCCATCTCCCCATTCTCCCATCCCTGTCAACACTTCCCTCTCCACCAACACTAGTCTCCCCTCTTTGCATCCTTCCTTCCATCCTCCCACTGTGCTCCTCTTCCCACCCCCTTGTCTTAGCTCCTCCAGGCTCCACTCCCCTCTCGCCCCGCCCCTCCCTGCTCCATTCTCCCTCCACCCTCCTGTCTTCCCTTCCAGCCCCTTCCTGTCCCACAGTCTTCTCCCATCACCTCCAACCTGGACTGCCTACTCTCCTCCCTTCCATGGCCTCCCACCTTCCATCCCCCTCATCGCAGCCCTCCTCTGTTCCCCCATGTCTCCCCTTCCCTCTCCTCCCATCTTTTCTGGGAGAGGGAGGGAAGCTGAGAGGAGGGGAAAGTGGGAGGATGAGAGGGGCAAGAAGGAGAGGGTGATAGGAGTCTGTGAGGGAGGGGTGACTAGGGAGGGTGGGGAGAGTGGGGATGGGCGAGGTGGGGGAGAAGGAGTGGGAGGAAGATGGGCGCAGGGAGAGGGAGAACAGACAAGGGAGGGATGTGGGAGGGAGGGGAGACCGGAGGAGAAAGTGGG